CACGCAATGTTTGCTCAATGAATAAGTTTTGGGTCGGGATGTTTTATTTTGTATAACTCGTAAAATTAACGATCCTAGAAAGTGATATTTAAAAGCTAAATTTTAGTTATATGTTCACCTCCAGTTTCTCGGACTACTTAGCTTATGAAACAGGATGTGCACACAACACAGGGATCCCGGTTGGCTGTATTAGATTAGGGACTTTACAGTAAGACTTGCAAAAGACATCCGTTGCAAAATCTACGACGGCAACGTCAACCGGAAGTGTAAAAAAATTCTCTTTGGGGTTCTGTGCATTGGAGATTTCATCCAAAACATTGTCAGTAAAGTCAACTCATCCAYAGGGAAGACAGACTTTGAAGGTGCAAAGAAGACTAAAATCTAAACTTATGCTATTTGATTTGATTCTAACCTTTTAGAATTAAAACGTCTTTAATTTCGTAGTTTATTTCGGTACACTTTAGTTGGCGGTACCGGTACTGACAGTGGCATTAGCATATAATGAGCGCCTGGCTGTTGACGTCACTCATCGCAACCGAGGTAACGATGTTATAAAGAATCTACACTCTGAAAATATTTAACGAAATTTAAAACCAGCAAAACAACTGAGAAAATGACTGTTAAATTTTCTTGATTTTCTGAATGTGAAGTTAATTTAAGTTATCCGAAATCTGAAACCTGAGACCAAACACATCTAGTACACATGACGTCACAGCCGCCATCTTGGTTATATTTAACAAAAAATTGTCAATGAATTCTTTCGTTATATCAACATATATATAGATAGTTTATTTAAACACGGTGAAACCATCAGTAGAAAATACATCGGCAATAAAATGTATTGATAAATCTATCTACGTAAAAAACTAAACTAAATAAAATAATGTTTTACATGATTGCCATGTAGGAATCCAATGCCATTAATTTAAAAGTATTTCTCAATTTCGTTTTTAAACAAGATTTAGAATTTTTAACCGTATGCCCCACTATAACTAAAATTACGTTTAAGGTAATCGGTGCGCTGCTTAGGTAAAGCGGTTTAAATAATCTCTTCGGAAGTAACATGTTTTATATCGATGGAAAAGATTTTGCAGGTACTGCGGGCCTTGATTGTTTAAGGACTTATAAATACATTAAGAAGGCTTTTTGTTTCTTACGTCTCACCGAGAGAAAATCCAAGTGTAAAGATTCAAGAAGCGTTTTGGACCTTACTTCATAGCTTGCTTTCATCATTACTTTAGCTGCACGGTTTTGTAGCTTTTGAAATTTGTCGCTTAATTGGCCGTTTAATCCATCCCATACTGTACTACGATAGCCGAGAATTAAAGCAGTGTAGATGTGGACAGCAGTAGAGTGAGAGATAAAAGGTCTGACTCTTTTTAAAGCTCCAATTGCTGAGGATATTTTTTTAGCATAGTTCCTTAATATGGGCAGACCAAGAGAGTCGATCGTCTATTATAAGGCCCAATGACGTGGTGTATGGTCAACTTTCTTGATTTCTTTGTTATATCGATATTAATATAAATATCATCATTTAACTGGGTTCCTTACTTTTTGCAATGACTATGAATTCAGTTTTGGTAATATTCAAACTTATTTATAATTTATGACGGTGCTCTCCCTACTCGGAACCGTTTTCATCGTATTTCAAGCTCATTTGTTTGGGCCAGCAACTAAGATTGATTAGCTCGAATTTATGGTAGTCTCAAGATCCGTCACTCTACTAACAGAGATATTATTGCTTGTGTCATCTGCAAATATTTCTGCTGTGGCTGTGATAAGACTGTTGGGCAGGTCGTTTATGTATATCAAAAATAGTAATGGACCGAGAATGCCGTCTTGTGGGACCCTACAACTTATTATGTTTGCATTTGACAAAGACCCGTTGACTAAAGATCTTTGGCTTCGATGCATTAAATAAAAAATAAAAAAATAATAAAAAAACGTTTGATAGACTTTTGTCAAACTAAACCATACTTAATAGAGGGGAAGCTATTAACTATATATCAACCAACATGGCCGCCGTGTCTTTTGTTATTTCATTGCTTAGGAATAATATAATTGAAAACCAGCAATATAAGACATAGCAACCTAGTTTATAGTTTAAGTTAATAATGTGATTTTTCGTATTTTAGCCACAAARCATTAAAGCACAGAAATTCCATATAGTCTCAGATCGTCCATTCCAGATTTTCGACCGACAACGTTTTTTGAAATAGGAGTACGAATTCCTTAAAATAAGGTGAAGGACTAGTGATGAGAAAAAAAAGAAGYATCAATTGCCTTACCTTTAAAAATATCTTAGTACGGTGCCGCTTTCTATATCTAATTCATTCTGACCTTTTACATGCTTTTGTACTGGTACAAAACTAACGCTCTAGAATAGAAGTCTTCGCCGAGTCTCTGAATTCTGATGAAGTTGACTTCAACGACGGTAACTATTACGACCTTTGGAAATTTGTTTATTTTTAAGTAATTCTATAGAAACACAGTTGGGGATGTGGTTGGCTTTTGAGGCAGCTGAATAAAATTTTGTTCTCTAGTTTTGGAATTTTAATTTTTAAAAACATCTATACAAAACCAAACGATTTCACCCGCAGTCATTTACCTATAGCCGCTTTAGAAATATTAAAGGTGTCATAGAGAGTCTAGAGCATAATATAATTCCCTTTCATAATCATCTCATAATGTTGACATAAATTGAGTTCATGCCAAAAATAAACCGGTTTCATATTTTGAAAATAAGTGATAGTTATTGAAATTTTATTAAAATTATTGGAATTAGTGAGATTAAATATAATTGATTGTCCTATTTATTGGCAGAGATTTAAAAACTTCCTCATTCAGTCATGTGCATTAATGTTTGTTAAGCAACTTGGAATTGGATACCTCATTAACTTCTTAGTAAATTAATATCCACAACGAATAGCATTTTTCAGTTTTACTTCTTTAGAAGCTGCTTTCATCTCTCTTTTAAAAAAATCCTTGGCTACGTTGGTTGTTGTGCCTCCTGTCATAGTTGCCATCACGTGATGATGCAAAGCAAGCCTCTACACTCGGTTTAGCAAAAATAATTGTGGCAATATGTGAGAATGAAAGCCGTACACACCGAGTGTAGAGGCTTGCTTTACACCATCACGTGATGGCAGCTATGACAGGAGGCACAACAACCAACGTAGCCAACTTTTTTTTTTCGTTTTCTTCAATCTTACGGGAAAACGCTCGACTTCCAGTTTCAAAATTAAAAGATTTAATAAAAAGTATATTTTTTACTTTTTCGTCATGACTGGATTTGTTTTGCAAAGTTCTGATTGTTGCTGGCGGAGGTTCAATTTTAGCGGTTTTAGTGAGTTATTGTACCCAGATCATACTTAGACCCCGTCCACACGTATCCGGAAATGTTTGTATCCGCAAATTATTTTTTGCGGATACGGGTTGCGTCCACACGTGTCCGCAAATTTTTGTATCCATATCCGCAAATTTTACGAAAACGGATACGTGTGGACGGTGAAAACGATTCGAATGCGCTGCGTGTGGACGCAAACATTTTCGTATCTGCAAAAAATAATTTTCGGATACAAACATTTCCGGATACGTGTGGACGGGGCCTTAAAAACGTTACCGATCTATAGAGTCCTTTTCCCTAAGTAAACTGAATTCTTTCTCATGTAAATCAGATTACACCTGATTCAAATGTTCCTTCCTCCTGTCATGGCTGCCATCACGTGATGGTACAAAGCATCTATGTTGAGTGTAGTGGTGATGTGTGAGTAAACTAAGTTAAATTGAAAACCCCGGGCAGTATTTATACTAAGTTTTTTTTTTTACTTAAGATGAAAGCATGCAGCTTCTAACGAAGTAAAACTGAAAAATGTTATTCGTTGTGGATATTAATTTACCATTGTAAAATATTAATGAGGTATCCAAATTCATGTTGCTTTACAATCATTAATGCACATGACTGAATGAGGATTTTTAAATCTTTGCCAATAAATAGGTAAATCAATTATATCTAAACTCCCTAATACTTTAATAAAATTTCAATAACTTTCACTTATTTCCAAAATACGTAATCGGTTTATTTTTAGAATGAATTCAATTTATGTCAATATCGTGAGAAATACTATAAAAGGGAATTATATTATGCTCTAGGCTCTCTATGACACCTAAAGCGGCTATAGGTAAATGAACCTGTGGATGAAACCGTTTGCTTTTGTATAATTTTTTTTTATTTATTTAATTTTTTAAAATTAAAATTCCAAAATTAGAGAGTAAAGCTCTATTCAGCTGCCTCAAAAGCCAACCACATCTCCAACTGTGTTTCTATAGAATTACTTAATGCAAAATAAACAAATTTCCAAAGGTCGTAATAGTTACCGTCGTTGAAGTCACTTCATCGGAGTCCATAACTATGGTGAAGACTACTACTATTCAAGAGCGTTAGTTTTGTACCAGTATAAAAGACCAGAATGAATTAGATATAGAAAGCGGCACCGTACTAAGACATTCTAAAGGTAAGCATGGTAATTAGTTGTATTACACTAGTCCTTCACTTTATTTTAAGGAATTTGTACACCAAACCTCGTCATGATTTTAATTGTGTGTATATTGTGATCTTGTGAGTTGACTGAAGATGTTTATAAGTAAATGAAACCGGTCTCCACTAATGGAGTCGTTTTTAGTGCGTGGAATTAAAGATGTTTTTAAAATGAAATTTAGCCTCATAATCACAATCTTGACAAAGTTAACTAAACCTTTCGAGGTCTCAGCAAAGAAAATATCTCAAACACCAGAAACTCAGGTGCAAGAGGGCGGTTGAAATGTGTAATCTGCAGGTAACAGTTATTGATACAATTCCTTTCTGCGATGCTGCGGAATATCAATCTTTTTTCGAGTCAAATTTCTTCACTAGTCGAGTAAATCACGTCTTCTTTTTTCAAACATGAATCACCAAAACCAAATTAAAGATAGATATCCAAAATGTTTGATGAAAATATTCAGTAAATTATCTGAAGTCAGGAAATTCAGCGACAAGTCATGTTGGTATGTGTTAGAAGAGCCATTTTTAATCAAGAGTAAAATTTTCAAAAATTAATTAGCTTAAGTTTAGACTTTCCTTTATTCCGTTTTGAACCCAAAAATCGCATTTAGTAGAAATCAGATTTTCTTTCCTCAGAGAAGGCTATGCAATCTCAAAACCGTTCGGCACTCCTTCTTCTTCAACTTCTTCTTCTTCTCCTTAGTTCATCCCGCTAATTTTAAAGTTCAATTCCGTTATAATTTAAAAGTTAAATTTTATTGAGGGAGGAAAACCGGAGAACCTGGAGAAAAACCTTTGAAGAACAGTAAAGAGCCAACAAGAAACTCTAATCACAATCGACACACTGAGTCCGGGAATCAAACCTGGGTAGCTTTGATGACAGGCGAGCGCTCTCACCGCTACAACACCACCCATGCTTCCCTGAAGTTAAATGTGATGCTTGAATAATTTCGTGTTTTACAAAACTGAGTTTGATATTTTTATTACCACAGACTGGAAACGATTCAATATGAAGAACCAGCTTGTGTTTGTATTTATACTGTTCCTTCTCAAGCACAAAGTCACNTCATCATCATCATCACCATCATTACTGTTATATTTCCCCATCATCCTCTGATTGTCAAGCCGTCACTATTGGCTGTCTTTGCTCTTTTATTGTTATTATTATTATCTCAGAAAGTGAGTGACGGCGATTTTTCTTATATGAGCATCATCATTTCCTTATAAAAGTGGATAGCCTGGGCTACCTGTGGTACAATGACATTACTCGGGCAGGTACCTGTTACTCGGGCTTCCCATTTTTTCATAAACAGAGCTTGGGCTGCCTGTGCTATGCCTCGGCAACTCCTCGACAACTGATCGACAATACTTCGGCTAAAATGACACGAAAACCGCTGATGGTTCGTTGTCAAAAGATAAATAGAAGCTCAGAGGAACGAAAATTCAAATCTGACTCAGTAATGTGGATTTTATCATTTATTCATTAATGATTTTTGATTTGCGTTGATCTCTAAAGGTATTTAGCATAGTATTTCATTATATATTTTTATTTATATTGCAAAGCTTCCGTGTGAAAAGACCTGAAAACTTCAACATATTAAGCTTAAGTCCTCAAAAGCTTATCGAGTGGATTTAGACAAACTGTTGAATAGTTGATGTCATCTAAATTAGATACGTTATGGATTATTTTAGGACGACTGAACTAAATTTGAATCTAAGAGTAAACAGCTACTTAAACCAGGGGGGACGATGATACAATCTACTGTCTCTGCATACATTCTCTAGTAATTAAGTAAACCATTAGATTCACATGACCATCCCTTTGGTGTATATTGACTATTTTAGGTGACGCCGCCTGTCAAATAGATATATAAGTTAAATAATTTGATCTTTGATCTATCTATTGCATCCATAAATAATACCTTGTTAGTTTTTAATTTGTAAATCATCTGTCATCTATCGTATCTTAATTTTTATAAACAGACATTATCAATATAATTCTATATCTGGGTTAGCTGTAGAATATAAATGTCTAAGAACAATAAGGGAAAATTATATTCTGTGATTCATGATTCTAGCATGTTCTAAAATTCAGAAATTTTGAACATTTAGTATTCATTTCTGAAAATGGCCTTTYATTGTCATTTTTTAATCGTCGTGAACTCTGCAAAGTTCCCCCACTTATCACCCCTGTACTACATATCAGGAATCATGCAGGAGAGTGCAAGAGGTGACGAGAAGAAACAAGCTCAAGACCATCCTACTAGACGTCTTCTAGTAGACACAACAGATCCAACAACAGATGAAAGACATTCAGGAGATGGCCAGGCATCTCCATCTGGTGAAAACATGGTGGACGAAGTATCCTTAAGCTCAGATGATTCTGATTTGAGTGGGTATACCAGAAGATGTGTGCCGAGGGTCAATTGCCCTGAAAAAATAGTGAGTATAGTGAAAACGAGAAGAAGGGAGCATATATTACAAATAATAGACTAAATATAACAAGAATAGATAATGATAACAACAGCAACAGCAATGGGAAGTTTTTATATAGCACAGGTCATGTCACATTGATGCAGTTTACATTTCTGACCATTACAGGGCACAAAATTCACTTTTAAACCTAATAGAAAAACCTTGCTAGTAAGTTTTGTTTTGACTAGCAAGAATTTTGAAGCCACTAGCGATCCATCCTGGCTAATAACAAACATTACTGTCTTGATGCGGGTTCTATAAAACTTTTCAGTCCTTCAATTTCTGGATTGTGGTCATACTCACAAAACTTAGCTAGTTAAAATTTTTCTTACTCACTAAGTACAAAATCTCACTTGCATTTTGCAAGCTTGTGAGCRTTAATTTCCTGCCTAGCATTGGAGGAGTTTATGGGCTTCAATATTAAGGTGCTATTAGCAGCTGTGCAGCGTACAATCATGAGTGAATAATTAGTAGATTAGTATTATGCCTCTAAATTGGAACTGGGAATAACTGTTGAACTGGGAGATGTCAATCCCCTACTCTTATATGAATAATTCAACACATTCTTTTTTGTCCCCAATTTATAGGTTATACTTGGTTCAGAATAAAAAAGGTGTTACCCCCAAATTATTTTGAACATATTATAATGAATGAACCTGATGGTTTTTTTAGATTCTTTGTGTTGACTTGTCCCCTGAGATGAATGAGTCATCATTTCAAAGTCGTACAGCACCAGAGAGGTAAACTTGATTAAGATTAAAACAATAAAAATTCAATATATCTTGAATTAGATTTGCTTCAAATTAAAGGATTAGAGGTTTAAAATATTTGATTAAGCCTAAAATCTAAAGTCTAAAATCTCCTTCAAGATGTATGTCTTCTTATTGCAATTCTTTTATTGAAGGTCATCGAAATGCTAGTCGGGGTACGAGACATTTTCAAAATCTGCACGTTTTTAAAATTTCACAGCCCATTTTCAATTTACATAATATGTATAAGTTGTTGTGACTTTAAGGTACAGTAGTTAGGAGAAAATAAGCCCATATTGGCCTTCACCACAATATTACAGCCAATATGGGATATATTTTCTCTCAACTAGCCATCAATATGAACCCATATTGTTGACTAAAAATCACAAGTTTTGTATCACGTTTCCCCTATCACAAAAATAATAATCCTGTGCGGACAGTAAAATATATTGGTGGCTCTCTTCCGATCAAGCTTACATGTATAGGAGAATTGTGTTGCAGAGCAGCAACACCTCCACTGGTATGCCATCACCACCACTGGTATGCCATCACCACCATAATAGACTGTTTTCCCAAGTTTGTGTGCTCATCCAAATTTAGGAACTTGATGAGTCACGATACCAGAACATGAGTATTATCATGTATTGCTATGAAATTGTTAAGAATTCATAAAATCGATTATTCTCCTCTTTAAATATAAAACTGGCTTCTCAATTTTACTRAATTKGCRTTTTTCAATTTCGTGGCCTGCCAAGTTGGTTGAGCACACAACCAGTCTATTAACATCATATTAYGATCATTGTTCATGTTGCAGAACAGCGTACCAGTTTGTCAGAAAGGCATCACAAATTTTCATCAAAAAYAAGTCCTACCTCAACCCTGACCATGAGTTTGGGATCATTGTTCTAGAAGATGAAGCTTCATGGGTGAGTAAAATATTAAGTACTTAAAGGAAGATAGTCATTTTTTATTGATGGTTTTCAATCATTCCTGGTTTTCAATCATTCCCAAGAGAATGTAATTACAAAAGACAYGGCGGCCATATTGGATGATATAACAAAAGAGACTAATGACAAATYTTTTGTTAAATTCATCCAACATGGCGGCCGTGAAAACCATCAATTGAAGAAATAGAAAATGTGCKCATGCTGTGTGCTGTCATAAAGCACGCGGGGGTTGGCAGAACACGAGAGAAGTGTTAGGAGAAGCATGACGCATAGCAGAGTGCTTCAGGACACTTCTYGAGTGTTCTGCCACCCCCCAAGTACTTTATGACCGCACACAGCACAGGAAGCAAGTTTTTTATTTCTTTTATAAAATACAAATTACAATAATAAGTAGGAATGACGCAACGGAAAGTGAGCRCACGTGCAATGTGCTCTAATAAAGCATGCRCTCCAAACCAATCAGAACGGGACATTCATAACAGTTAGTTCATAATGGGGAGTAGTGGCTGGGCTCAAAGGGAAGAGTTATTATTTTAAAAAATCAATTTTTTGGTGAGTGAAAGCTTTTTATTTAGATGAAAGTTTTTCCTTGTTGACTTAATAGAAGGGTCATGGAATYCTTACTGAATAAAAGTTAATTCTAAAACGTTTCTTTGAACATCTTTATACCTGCCATTTACAAGGGTGTAGCTTCTGCAGTAATTATATTTGGTTGGGGTTCCTGTGGATAAAGCCACAGGAAGCCCACATTGGCAATAAGTTTTGGTTTCAATGTTTTTTTTTCTTTGTTTTGTTAATAATATGTAGTATCAGCAGTTTGAGAGTAACCCAGATACCATCTGTACAGTACTGGAGCATCTGAAGCCAAATGAACAAGAAACTGAAGATGTTTTCGATATCCTTTCCAATAGAAATATGGACAAAATATAGACTGYGAGCAAGTCCCTTTATTTCCCTTGGTCACTGTCAGTCTGTCTGTCCATGTCGATTGGTCGAGGAAGATTGGTTATGAGKCAAAGGTCCCTGGGGGAGGGGGCAATATACCCTCCTCACACCCTCCCCACCCCTCCATGGGGGAGGTATAGATATTTTCTAGAACTGCACAATATACCCTCCTCTGACCCTCCCCACCCTCCATTGGAGAGGTATRRATATTTTCTGGAACTGCACAATATACCCTCCTCAGACCCTGCCCACCCCTCCATGGGAGAGGTATGGATATTTTATGGAACTACACAATGTACCCTCCTCTGACCCTCCCCACCCTCCATGGGAGAGGTATGG